CGGTGGTTGCTGCGCGGCTGACGACTGCGGGGCTCGAACCGCCAGCGTTTGCGACCAAGTGGTTCGTGACTGCTTTTGCAAATACACTGCCGCTCCGCGTCGCTGAGCGCATCTGGGATGCACTCTTGCTGCGCGTGGCGTCGTCGTCGGCCGACGCTGGCTGCATCTTGCTCGGTACCGCCGCTGCACTTTTGGCGACGCTGGAACGGGCCGACGTTCCGATTGACGACGACCCGGCGCTACTGCTGCAGTACATACAGTCCATACCCGACAAATGCGTGGGGTCTGTAGAGGACCAAGACGCCTTTTTGGCCTGCGCGTTTACCTTTACCGAGCGACTTTGCCCCTTCGAGGTCCTTGACACTTTGATACTTTGATACAAAGCGCATACCCACGGCATGCAGGTGTCGCAGCTGAGACGCGCCTACGCTTGCGAGCAGACAATGCAAGCGGACGCCAAGCGTCGCCTAACTGCTAGTCCGTCGCCGGCTTGGGCCATCGCCCTCTATAGCGCCGAGCCGACAAAGTTGCGTCCCCGCGGTTTTTCACGGTGGCGAAAATCGAAAAAGACGCCACTTTTGCTCGACTATGACGTGGCGTTCGCGCCAGGTACACTAGTATTCCATGGATGGCAGAGACCGACTCGATGTCCCTAGGCGCTCTTGGACTCGTGCTAACACAAGACAAGATCGACAGCGCGGTTCGTGTGAATGGGTACATCGCGACGACCGCCATCGGGAAACTGTACGCAACTTGCTGCGTCTGGGATGCTGACGCTATGCCAAAGGTGCAACATGATCCAGCCCGGCGACGCCATCATGTCGGTCAATGGTGTGGACTGCGCGGGTCAACCACTGCTCCATGTATTGCCAGAACGGAACGACGGTGCTGAAACACCCGGGTGATATTGCGCATGGATGTAGGTGGTCCATGAGCTCGCAACACGCACCGATCGGTATCGTATTGTACGCTTCCAGCGCACGATAAAGCGCGCGGTCGCAGCGCGGACGACGAAATCACCCATGTACTCGACCGAAGGGCAGGTGCATGCATCGCCCATGGCGCCGACAGCCTCGTTTGCCAAGCTCTTTGCGCGTCACCGCAGTCCCCACATGGCCTAAGCCACAAAAACTTCATTAAAAATCAACTAAAACGACAGCGTCAAATTGTGCAGTGTTGGGTTCGACTCGGTCGGGTCGAGCGCGTCTCGAAAGGCAGCGTTTTCTACATACAGCAGCATCAACCTTCGCGACCTTGTCGCCATGCGTACCGGCTTTCAGGAGAGCATCGAGGTCCAGCGTCTTTGGCAGTGGACGTGCCAGTGTCAGCAGCATCTCGTGCTACGCCAGAGTCGTCAAATCGCTGGATATTGGACGTCGGTACCTGCGCCTCCAGAAGCGTCAGCATGCGGTCGTTTTGGCGTTGCAGGTGCTGCAGCTGCGCGCGAACGCCGTCCGTGTCCGCAATGGCGTCCACTACGAACAATCGCATCTCACCTCCAAACGTCTTGCTTTTGTATACATACCAGGCAGCGTCTTGAGGACTTTGGCACGGTGCGACGCATCTTGGCTCGGGTATTTCCGCTTCGAGAGGACACAGATTGCTGTTGTAAACACAGGGGCAAGGTCGTCCAAGTTGACAGGGCACTGCTCCACATAGGGCTCAATCTTGAGCTTGAAGCGCTGCCCGTCCTTGCGCCGGCTCACCTACACCCTGTTGATAGGAGCGCCAAATTGGTCAGAGACCCACCTTCTCCAGTCGAAAGTGAATCGTCGCACTGCGCGTGTCGTCGCGAATCACGATCGCGTCGTACTCGTCGCCAACAAAGCGAAAAATGTCTTGGTCGCTTTCGTCCACACGTTTGCCTACGGATGGCTGAGAACGCGCGCGACATGAAACCGCCATGGTACCTGACTCGTAGTAGAGGCTGACGCGAAGAGGGATCGGCGTGAACGACCGCGACGAAGACCGCACGAGCTCCTTCTTGCAATTGAACTCGAGCAGCGAAATCTCGGTCGTGAGGTAGTTGGAGCGTCCACCTACGCGGCGCTCTCATCCGCATTCTTCGCCTATATCTCGTCGGGTCATACCTTCGTCCTTGTAAAACTCAGACGGGGTTGCTTGGTCACAACCAATCGCCGCGACGTCCCGGCCATTTCCACACAAAATCCAAGAGTGAATTCAACGAAGCCGAGCCCGACGTGATAGAAGTCGACTGCAGCTGCCAGGGGCGCGCGGGTCATGCGCTGAGATGGGCGGGGACCTCGTCCGATGCTTGCCAGTGTTCCGGCCTCGGGATATGATGGCGCGTCAAGCATTGAGCCGAGCATGCTGCTGCTTGCTGGCAGCGAGTCCGACGCAAAGAAAGCGTGGGGGCTGCGGCATTTCGCTTGGTACGTATTCGCTGTTGACATTGTCTGCGTCCAACATCTTGTATCGGTGGAGGCTGCATCGGAAGCCTTGGCGACAGTGCTGGTCCAGGCCAAGTTGACGAGCTCCAGAAGCGATGAGGCAAAGTCGTCTGGCGTCATCCGGGCGGTATGTCACTGCAAGGCCGTACCCGAGCGATCGAGCGCGTCAAGATACGCCGGCGACACAAAGAGGAGCTGGTATTTGACCTTTTGTGTGGACAATGCCATTTCTGACACTCGCTGAAAATCGGCGGTAAGTACAGAGTGTGGACACCAAGCGCATGAAGCAGAACCTGCTCAATTTAAGCACACCCATGACCGAGGCTTGATGGCAAGGATATAGACTACTTTCCAATGCATGCACGTTAAATGCTATTGTACGGGCCATTTCGGATCGCGTATCAGACGTAGTTCATGAGATTTAAGTTAAATCTCATGAACTACGACAGCTACGAACAATCTGCTCTAAAATGCAGTGTACCGAGAAGCTCGGGGTAGACCGCTGCGAGGCGCCTGCGACAGTACCCAGTACGCATCTGACAGGGGTACATTGTAGATTCAATTGGTGTCCTCTAGATTTCTGATGTTGCGGTGCCGCAGCGCATCCGCCGACGTCATGCAGCGAAATCAGAACTTGATTTTATCTCGAGAGAGGAGGGAACATTGCGTCGGCTATACGAAGCGCGCCATCGGATCATTCTTGCGGGACACTTGCATCGGAGTCGTAGTCCGATGTCGTGGACCATCGGCGCGGCCGACACACAAACACACAATATCGGGGAGGACCGGCGCTTCAAATGCAAAGCAGCTACTTGTGTTCCTGCGTGCTAGATCGACCAAGCAAGAAAGGTCGACCGCACGTGCGACGCTCGACAGGCCCGTACGATGCACTGCAGGCAAGCACGCGAGTCGCTGTACACACGCAACCACGTCGTTGCAACCACGTCGTCGAGACCCGATGTCGCGTTCGAAACAGGCATTCGAACCCCTTCGACTGTCAAGGTCTGGATGGCATTCCGCCATTCAACCATAGTACTCGACACATACCACTTCTTCTATAGTGCATGCTACGCTCGCGAGGGTGCAGACCAGGATGCGGACCGCAACCGTCGAATACTGATGTCCTGGCTGCTGTCACGACACGCCACGTAGAGACGACGACGGACTCGGTGGTGGCGGTGGCATGGAATTTTGAGTTCTTATCGGTGTCATGGCACCGCCTTCAATACCAAGCCCAAGAGTTTTCTCGGTACCGCGGGGTACCGCTCGCGTTCCGTGATCGACCTGGTCAGGTGGTGATCGTTGTACATACCTAGGATTGCGTCCGCCTGTCGGCTACAAACCAACACCGGCGACCGACACATAGAAGGCACTGCCGTGGCGCCGCACCGCTCCTCCTCTTCACTTCTCCGGCGAATCGTCGGCGGACGAGGCACGGACTTCGCGCAGGTGCGGACGCTCGATGTGCAAAGTCAGGTTGAAGTTGTTTCGACCAATCAGAGCGAGCCCATCATAATTCACTGGATACCTGCGTCATCGCAGCTCACCACGTGGGGTGGATCAGCGACCGCTCGATCATCGGCGGCCCCGATCACGATCCTTCGACGTCACCGGCACGGCGCGCCCTCGCGCATCACTCGCAACGTGAGGACTACTACTTCAATTATTAGGGCACTTTAATAGGAACTAACTAACTACTTGCTACGCGACTAGGACTCAAAAATGTGCTTCAGAATCTCAACCTCGTCGTCCGACCACGTCTCGGGCTCCGTCATGTCCATCTCTTCCAGATCAAACTCGGGGCCAAGGTCGTCGGCGGTCAGCATCTCCATCTCTTCCATCTGGAGGCCCGGCTCGAGCTTGATTGTCACGTCGTCGTCTTCTTGCTTGACGAAGGCATCATCCATGGACTCGCTCTTGATGCGAGCGTCCAGCGTGGTCGTCTTGGTCGTTGTCTTGGTCGTCGTCGTCTTGGGCTCCTTCTTGACGGGCTTGGCACCGCGTCGCTTGGCGTCCGACTTTCGCTGGTTCTTGTTGTGTTTTAGCCGGTGCTCTTCGCAGAGCGTGTGGGCTTCGCCGCTAAACTTGAGCGTGCGCTCGTTGGGGCACCGGCCGCTCTTGTACTTGCAGCGGCCACGGTATGCGTCCGACTTGAGCAACTTCGCCGAGACTGAGATCGTAAAGTTGCCAATGAGGCGAGCGCGCTTCGAGGTCGGTGACAAGCTCGCGGCTTGGGGGCGCTTTAGGCTCGGCTTGCGGGTCACGGGCGAGTTCATTCGAGTACGCAAATAAGAAAATGCAAAAGCTGATAGAGTTGGCGATCCAGTCCATTCTCTGGATAGTCGCCTCGCGGCTGCTTGCGCGCATACCCGCCCTCTGTGTCCAACAGAGAAGCTCGGCCGAAATTTTCAAAGCGCTTTAGCGGCGTTTGATTGGCTGAAATTCTACGCAATCAATCCAAGCGGAATGTCGGTGCTTCGGACGCGATCTGATTGGTCGAATTTAAATGACGCGAGGATGACGTGCGGGGCGCTCTCTATACAAATGCCAAGAGAGCCGGGCGACCAGTTGCGGGCCGCATCTATGGCGACAGTACACTTGGCCTTTGTATACCGAACGGCATACCCACATCGCTCGGACTGGCAACGCTCGCATGCCATCGCAATGCCTTCCCTTGCAAGGAGGGAAAGACCCGGGCTAATCCCTGAAAAAAGAGTCGTGCAATTGGAATGGACCTGCGACATGTACAGAAAGTGCGGCGTGCTAGCGCCTGCTTTTTTTCCTGAAGATGGACGATCTTGGTCGCGAGTGGCGTCGTCGCAGGTGGTTTTGGCGCGCGGCTCCGGGTCGCCCGATGTGCAGCGTCGCTGGCGCAGCCACCGAAGCGAGGGCGGTGGCGATGCGATTGCAAGACCGACGAGGAGCGAGAAAGAGAGACGAGGCCCGCACGCACGTCGAGTTGTTGCAGTCACGCTTGTCGCGCGTGGGTAGGAGCGCCGCGATCGCCGACGGCTCTGCCCACCGCGACGCACGCAACAAGGCGACGCCGCGACTCACGCAGCGCTGCGGCGTGACTGCGCGCCGCGCCTCCCCATCGCGTTGGCTGGCTTCTCGCCGATTCTTTTTGTAATGTCGCCGGACGAGGATCTTGCTAGAGGATGGTGCGACGACGACGGATTTGCAAAGGATGCCGTCTCGAAAATGGCAAAGTCAAGGGCAAAGTCAAGGGCAATCTCAAAGGGCAACGTCAAGGGCAATACATGTATTTAGCTCACGTTGGCTGGGCCGTTGTGTTGATAATACCAATGTGAAACGACTCCGGCACTACGTTCTGAGTGGCATGCACAAGGTCGACCGACATCGGCGCGTGTACACGGCGGCGGCGGCGCGCAACCTCTCACCGACCGCGGAGCGCCACGAAGAGATGCAAACGACCTTTGGGTTTGGCTGCAACGTCGACGAACACATCAAATATGGCAAGGTATGCTACGCCCTGTGTCGTGTGTGCTGAAACGAACGCAGTGCCTCGATGGGCAATGCATGCGGCGCACGGGATGGGAAGTCGAGAAGCTCGCGCTCGGCGTACGTCCATTTCCATGGATAGCAGTGCTGGCTCGACCACAATGCAACATGCCTAGTCGCAGCGGTTCGCCGAGAAGGACGGGGCGCTGCTCCACGCGTGCGCGACAAAGAATGAGTTTGCCGTCGCGCATCTCTTGAGCCTCGCGCCAAGTCTCACACCGCGCAATGCGCAGGTTTGTCGTCTGTCGCAATCGTGATCCAGCAAGCGTTGCGTAGGGCCAGACGGCGCTCCACGTGGCCTGCGCCGTCGGCTCGTGCACGATGGTCGAGCGCCTCTTGGCGTACAATGCGTCACCGGCGTGCGTCGCCGCCATAGACTTAAACGTCCAGGACGTGCACGGTATGTAGACGACAAGCCTTTGCGCTGCTGTGATCCATCTCATAAAAGCGGCAGGCAACACGTGCTTGCACGCGGCCGCGGCCGCCAACGCGCTGGACATTGTCCAGCGGCTAGTGGCCGCCGGGTGCACCTGGAGCGTGACCAACCACGACGGCAAGGTCGCGGCCGACGTCGCGGGGTCTGACCAGCGCATCTTTTCTTCTTACGACAGCTCGCATCCGCGCACGATCTCCAGGACAAGGTCCGATGACGTGAATCTTCCTCGCATCTGAGAATCGGCAACTGTACTAGCTCGAAGCACTGCACGCGCGGGCCGCTTCATTGCACGCGTCCCGCGACGTGGCACTGCGCGACATGGCGACGCGGGCACTGCGCACGCGGCAGCAGCGACTCGACGCATCGCTCACCTAGTTATGCCTCCAAACAAAACCCACACGATGACGTGGCAACACGGACGACGAGAGATGGATGAGGATGACGATGGGTTTCTTAAATATCGTACGATTCACGCGACGTCTGCGACGTGGTCTCCATGATGACGGTGCTGCCGTTCGTGTCGAGGAGCGATGGACTGAGGTCGTAGCTAAAGGAGCTCACGCGGAACGCGTTGGAGCCGCGGGCGAACGTGTGGCCGAGCGACGGCTGCGAAAATATCGAGTCGCCGTACCGAACGTCCGACTCGCGAATCTTGGTCGGGTCGTGCAGAATGATAATCTCGCGGGGTGACGACGATGTCGACGAGACCGCCGACGACGACGACGACGCCGACGACGTACTTTGGTGGTGCGTCCACTCGGTCTCGGACTCGCGCTCGGAATTGGATACGATCGACGAGTCCTCCGAGACGCCCGAGCCGGCAAGCGAGGCAGGTCGGCCGCGCATCGCGATCTTCCGGCTATAGTTGAGCGGCAAGACGGCATGGCTGTCGTTGTTCGCGTAGTACATGTCGGCGGCTGGCGCGACCTCGGTCGGCAACGAGGATGCTGGCTGGTACTCGCTGAGCTGGATCGGGTACGTGTCCATCGTGTAGGGCGCGGCCCGACGGCCATACCCGTCTTCGTTCGAGTTGGTTGTCGTCGTCGCTTTAAAGTACGTTGCGTGGGCCTCCTGCCGATGTGTGCGCCGCCGGCGCTTGCACCACAGAAGGCTCATGCCCAGAACGAGGACGAGGCCAAGGACACCGAGGACAATGGCGAGGATGAGTGTCGTGCTATCCGTGCTGCTGTTGGTGTCTATTGGCGCTAATAAAGAAGAGCAGTGAGGAGGCGGCGCAGGCGCATAGCAGCGTACGAGGCGAGGGCGTTGCGTTCGCTGGCTCGACTATCGCGCTCGGAGACGGCGTCGATGTGGCTATAGATTGGTCGCAGAGACGTGAGGCGGCTGCTAGGTAGGGCGGTTGACGAGGTACCTGCATCGTCGGCGAGACGTCGTGCGGCCATGACGGCGTCCGATTGCGCTATGTCGACCAGGTCGAGGTCGTCACTGTGGCCTGCACGCATTTCATTGGTGGCTTATATGCACCGCACCCAATCAAACCGTCTGCAATTTCGACGCGCGACGCTGATTGGTGGAAATGCAGCTTCGAAAAGGGCGGCGAAGGCGCAGATGGCCGAGATTCCTTGAAGCGCTGACGCGGGCATCCCACCACGCATCTTTGGGCACAGAACTGGCTTGCAGCAGCAGCAGCAGCATGCTCGCCCAAGTGCAAGGCTCCATGGACCCTTGGCTGATGGCAGCGGCGATGGTAGAGGACAATGGCCAAGGTGATGTTGCCGTCCAGGGCGTGGTCGCGGGTGTGGCTGCGGGATGGCCACCTTCGTGGCGCTTTCTACATGGTACGCTGAAGCTACTGTACCGGTGCTGCGTTCAGAGGTGCGGTAATACTACTGCCACTGTACTGGTACTGCTGCACACCAAGAGCTAACGAACTGCCGCGGCCGACCACCGAACCTTTTGCTCGACGCAGACTTTGCTCGACGCAGACGAACCTTCCTGCTGCTTCGCTCGCGGCCAAGGCAGGCAGCTACGCGTGCCATCGATCGTTGCTCGTCACGCATTGCTCGTCGCGTCCCTCGTCGTGCATCCCGCTACAAGACCAGGACGGTGGCTTGTCGCTTGCCGCAATGGCTATTCGTATTTGTAGCCTAGTCCAGGTAGACAGCATGTTGCCACCTCACCGATGCCAGCAACCTCGACGACATTCGCGGCGGAGTGGAAGGGCTGCGACACCCAGACGCCCCTGCGCATACCGGTACGCCAGCGCGTTGCATGGACATGTTGCGTGGCCCGTCATGTAATATAAGCACGGGACGAAGAGTCTCAAAATAGTAGGTTGGGATTGATTAGAGGCCGAGGTGCTGCTCGTTGGCGGGCGGCTCGTCGCGCTCGAGGCGGTGGGCGTGCTGGTCACCATGGCAGAGGTGGCACCAGTCGCAGAGCGCGTACTCGGCGCACGTGGTGCAGCGCCAGACATCCGCGTGCGTCAATAGCAGCGCACACTCGGCGCAAAAGACGTTGACTTGGGGCACCGACGCGTTGAGCATGTGGTGCAAGAGCATCATGGTCGAGTGCTTGGCGCGCCGCAGCGAGTCAAACTGGTACGACGCGCGGAGACTGAGCTGGTGGAACGAGAAGCGCGATCCGATAAACGCTGGCATCGCACTCGTCCGTTCTTGAGCGCTTGTCGGGATCGCGAGCGGCGACGTCGGCGGCGCCAAGTCGACGACCAGCAAGTCGTCCTTGACGATCTTCATGGCGCTCAAAAAACTGGAAAACGTATCTCGCATGCGGTGCAGCCCGTCGTCGTCGTACAGTGGCGCGTCCGCGGCCCAGATCTTCTTGCGCTTCTTGGACTTGAGCTGGCGGATGACGCGGTCGAGCTCGGACGGGACAATGTCACCGTCAAAGAACGGCAGCGGCACCGGCCAGAGGTACTCGTCCTTGTCGGTGAGCAGCGTCGTGGTCGAGACGCGGCGAGTCGTGATCGCCATGTTGGTCGTCTTGTCGCTTGAGAGCGGCGGCGGCGGCTCCGGCGCCTTCGCTTTGGCGGCGTACTTGGCCTGGAGCGGCGCCAGGTACCGTTCGTAGAGCGTGGTGTAGCCGTCAATGATCTTCTCGTCATGTGCTTTCTGCAAGACGCGCTTGTACCACGCGCGGAGATGGTCGACGCTCGGCGTCTTCTGAAAGCTCGGGTGGCACCAAAACACGTACGATTGACTCCGGGTGGGCGGACAGCTCCAAATGTGAATCCGGTCCATGCCATGATGGCGCGCATAGTCAAAGTAGGCGAGGAGGATGCGGTGGTAGACGCGCGTCCGGATCGTCGGCGGCTGGAGGTACCGGACGCTGTCAATGTACGCAAGGTACGCACTGCGTCGGTTTTCAACGAGCTCGCAGACGTCGTTGTACTCTTGTACGTACATGGCAAAGAGGCAGACGTCGACGCCTTGCTGCTTCTGGAAGAGAAAGATCGACTTGGTCGCAAACGAGACGCGGACCGGGAGTTCGCGCGCTTCGTGCGCCGCGTCCGGGCACGCGGCACGGAGCGCGTCCGCGTTCATTTGGAACGCGTCGACGATCGACGGCGGCAGGACGAACTTGTGGTTCGCGAACGTCGACTCGCGCACAAACAGCGAGTCTGCATCGACATCGGGAATCTCGGTCCGCAAGCGCGCTTCGAGGTAGAGGCTCAGCGGCGACTCGGGCAGACTCCGGCAGTCGACCGACGCGGACGGCGCCGGCGTGGCCTCGAGCTCGAGCTCGCACAGCGGACACACGAACGCGTTGCTCGACGAGGTCGGTGGTGACGCGTACGCGTCCTCGACCGCGTTGAAGAGGGCGCACACTTGGTGCATCCATCGGTCGCACGTCCCGCAGCGGACCCACGGCTCGACGTCGACTTCGCACTTTTTCTTGCTCAGGAGCGGCGCCATCTCGGCCGCGGTCGGCCAGAGCGCGCGCGGCGCGCCGCGCGGGTAGCTGCTACTGTTACCGCCGTTCTCATCGTCTTCGTCGCGCTTGGTTTTCTCTTCCTTCATGCCGCGGTTCCGGCACTTCATGCACCACATGCGCGTGCCGTCACGGGTCACGTAGTAGCTCATGCCTTTCCGAAAGACCGTGCCGCAGTTGCCAAAACATTGGTAGTGCGGCAGCGTGAGCTCGAGGCAGCCGTCGTCGCACAAGGCGCAGATGTGGCCGGCACAGACGTTGCACGCGTGTGCCGCCGCCTTCTCGCTCTCCGCGCCCGCTTTGAGCAGCTCGGCCCCGTAGAGATCTTCAAAACACTGCAATAAGATCTTGGCGTTCGCGTGCACCCAGTGGTCCTTGCCGTTGAAGAGCATCGCGTTTGTAAAGACGCGCCGGACGTCGGATGCAAATGCGTCGAGCGAAATGAACTTGCCCGCGTCGAGCGTCTTCTTGATGGTCCCGAGGTCCATCGGATGGGCAACGATGGCGTTGTACGTCGGCAGGTTGAGCGCGATCGGGTCCACCGGGACGTTGAAGAGGCCTTTCGTGTTGCGCGCATGCTCCATGAGCCGCTGTAGCAGCGGCGCGAGACGGCGAAAACGCTGGAGACGGCTGTCGCAGCGCAGCGTCTCGACGTGCAGTGCGATCTGGTCGCGGCTCAAGTTGGCCAGAGGCCGAACGCGCGTGAGGGGCGTCGTGAGCGGTTTGTATGTCCAGCCGTCGGGGAGACTTGGGTTGGACCCTGATACGTGCGCGTGGGTGAGGACGACGTCGGGTGCATCGTTGACGACGACAACGGCGGTCGGTGTGGCCACGGCCACGACGGCCTTGGCGGTCGTCTCATTGCGCGCGCGCTTCCGCGGCTTGAACTCCTTCATGTGGTGGCCTTGGATCGTATACCGCGGCTGCTTGCGCCGCGGCTTGCGCCGAATCGTCGTCGGCAGAAACGTCTGTCGCATCTTGTCGAGAAAGAGACACTCGGCCATGTTGGTGGGCATGCGCCAACAGCTGACATTGTCATAGATCGAAGCGGCGACCGTCGTACTGGGGGCAGACAAGGACGATGGTATCGACGTCGAGGCTTGGAGCGCGCGCCACGTATGCACCCAAGAACTTGGTGCGCATTGTCGGCGTTCGCGAGCTGCTTCCATAGCTTTGCCCCGGCGCCGACCCGCATCGCGTCACCGAGATAGCTCAGACACAGATCTACAACGCATGCATGCAATGAGTTCGCGCATGGAAGAAGAGGACGACGTACCGACAATGTGTGTGATCGCCGAGGACGGCGTCGGCTGGTAGCCCTTGGACTGCAAGAGAAGCACGGCGGCGTACGATGGCGGTAGCGCAATGCGTCGCACGCTGCTCGTCGTCGATCGCCGGGAGGTACCTAACGCGGTCTTCAGGTGCTGTTGCGTCTTGCGCCGCTTGACGACTTGAACCGGCGCGATTTCGAGATCCGATGTGTTTTTCGCGCCGCTCGACGGCGTCTCGGCCTGCATCTCTACATCGTCCGGGCTCGTCAAGTCGATGATCGTCTGGTCGCAGCGCGATGATCTGTGGCTCGATCGGGCTGCTGGCGTCGCATGGCGTTCGACGGTCGCACTGGCGCTGCGCGCGCGCAAAGGCGCCTTGCCATTCCTTGACTTTGTCGCAAGCTGTGTGTGCTGGCGGTCCGTGGCCATGCGCGAGGGCCTGCGCTCGCTCTCGCTGCTCGAGCTCTCGTCCGACTCGTCGACGACCGTGTGCACCGGAGGCCTCCGCGGCTTGTCGGCGACCTCGAGACACCACGTGTCCCGCTTCTTCTTGAGGTAGAGCGCAATCCTGACGTCTCCGCGCGGCCAGCGCGTCTTCCACGAGATGAGCTGCGGCCGGCAATATCGAATTCCTTCGATAAATCAGCGCCTTTTGACAGTCTACTCTTGCGCTTTGTATACCGCACCATCGCCAGCGAATCCAAGCCGCCAAGCCGCCGACCGCCGTATCCGGATGGCCCGGTTGCCGGCGTCCGGTCGCCTCCGCTGCACGCAAGCAATGGAGCAGACGCTCACGTCGGCCTCGATCGCCCTCTAGAGGCCACTGGACCGGTCATGGGCGTTGGCGGCGCGCGCACAGGCGTTTAAGACGTGGTCGGCCTGGTAAAAAAATACGCGTACCAAGCTTGCTATTTGTAGCAAACAATAAAAATCCAAAAAACCACGCCACCTATCCGGATACGCAGAGCATATATCTTTGGTTGGGACGACGACGACGCTCCAGCGCGTACACTGGCCTCGCCCTGCGGTAGCCTCGTGCGCGCCGCAGGCCGACTCTGCGGCAATGCGTGTGTGTATGCGCAGGTGCGCATCCTTGGCCGCGCCGCATGCGACGTCGTCGAGCTACACTAGGCGACTATGCTGGAAGGATACCATGCTGGAAGGATACGCCATGAAGTGTTCAAAAGGTCGTGGGATCATGACGATTCGGATGGTGGACTATAGGCTAGCGACGATGCTGAGCAGCATGACAGCGAGCAGCGACGACGGCGCGGCGACGACCGCACCTACACACGCGACGCGTTGTGTGAGGACGGCGGGCATGGCACATGCATCGTCGTACCGGAGAGCTGCGAGGCCGACCAGACTTCGAGTTCGCGGATGCCGTAGATCGGGCCCTGGTCCGCGAGCCGGCGGCTGCAGCCAAGCACGTTGTTGGGATCGCAGCTGGCTGGCGAGAGCATGTCGACGCGCAGATAGTAAAAGCGCGCGGACGAGTTGCTGGCGGGCCGGACGACGTCGACGCGGTCCCAGACCGTCGACGCATTCTCGTACGTGTTGTAGAGAACGAACGTGCGGTTGTAGCCTGAGTAGGACGTGCTGATCGTGTACGCCTTGGCGGCCAAGTAGCCGTGCCAGCGCAGGACGACCTTGCTAATGACCGGCGACTCGGCCGTGAAATTGACCTGGAAAAAGACCGACTCGTTCGTCTTGCCGCTGGACCACCAGCTCGATTGCACGACGAGGCCATCGATGCCGTTGTCTACGCAGTCGGCGAGGATCGAAGTTGTGACTTTGTGTTGGAGATTCTAATGTGGTACTGTACTGGGAATGTACTTGCTGTCGAGGACTGGGTTGAGGTCGAATTTGAAGTAGCTGCTTGCATATGCGTTCTGGCCCGTGGCAGCGTTGAACTCGAGGTTGGGCAGGCTCACGACCGCCAGCACGCGGTCGAGCTCGAGCGCAAGCCAGAGCAGGCCGAGGCATCGCAGCCGGCTTGCACTGCGCATGGCCTATTTTTACATGTGCTAAATGCGTTCCCTGCTCACATTCAATGGAGTCTCTCTCGTAAAAACGTCAACCAACGTTGTATTGCAGCGCCCGAGCGATGAGAGGAAAAGGGCGGTGTATCGAGCGGCATACGGGGTTTGAAGTGGTGCTGCGATTGCTGCCGTTGACCGTTTTGCATCCAGGATTCGCATTGGCGACGACCACATCACATTCCAGGAGCTGACGACCAGTACGTATGCGGAATCTGGATGTACCAGAGCCCACAAGTGGTTCTAACTGCTCGAGTTGTCAGGCCCAGGATTCTGCGAGGAGTATCTTTGAGCGAGACCTCCACCATTAGTCTCGAAAATGTGTTGACGCCAACGCCGTACTCAAAATAATAGCTGTCGCCACAACAGAGTCCACGACAGGAACACCGCGGAAGCCGATGCACGGAAGGGTCGAGCGAGCAGGTCGCGTGACGCGTCCGCCTCACTTCACGCGCCGTTCGACACAGACGACAGCGCTCCGTCAAGAGTCACTACTTCTAGAAGTACGACACATACTGACCGAGTTGCTGGCCGGCAAAAGCAAGTCTGAGCGATCGCTCGCCGGAGAGCTTGCCACGTGGAATCCTTCTTGCGTAGGTCTTCTTTGAGCTCTTCTTTGCCGTTCGTCGGAGCGAAGCGGTGGCCAGCACCGATCACCGCAAGTTGCCTTTCGACGCTGTTGCACACGCCCACAGCAAGCATACTGCTTGTTTTATGCTCTTTATTAAGAAAGGCTTCTCATATAGCTTGTCATTTGTATCGGATAGAAAACCATTGAAAGCAAACAAGACGATTTCGCACATACCAAGCGCTCGACGTTGCATCCATACGTATTTAAATATCTTGCCGTTTGTATGCAATTAAATGCTGTGTGCGTTTGGTAATGCTGTGACAGCCCTCAAGCGCGCGCTGATTGGCCAAAAGCCACGATGGCGATATCCTGCCACGGGATTGGCCAGAGTCGCGTCATTGTATTTCAATACAGTATACTATCGATTTGTATGCCACTTTGGATGGTAGATTAAAATAGGCACCAGCTGGGGTATCATGCGCCGACGCTGGGGTTCTAATCGATGCGCTGATTAGGGCCAGGCCGCCGGGTATAATCACTCGGGATGGACGGACGTTAGCAGCTCGATCGCAACAAGAACTCATTTTTCAAATCCCCATGACCAAGACAGTCGAGGTCGACGGCAAGCCGACAACGGACTTTGTCGAGGTCGCGACGCCCAAGGCGACCGCGGCCACCACGGACGCATCGCCCGAGGCAGCCAAGGCGGCCAAGATGGTCTCGCTCGCCAAGCTCTTTACGTTTGCCGACACGACGGACAAGGTGCTCATGGCCGTCGGCACGGTTGCCGCCATGTTCACGGGCGTCTCGCAGCCGATCCAGATCATCTTTTTTGGCGACATCCTTAACGCGTTCAACCCGGCGCAGGTGACGTCGCTCAGCGCCGACGACCTCCGCACGAGCATCAACAAGGTCGTGGTCCAGTTTGTCTGGCTCGGCGCCCTCGTGCTTCTCTGTGGCTTTGCGCAAATTGCGTGCTGGTCGATTGCAGCGTCGCGCCAGGCCAAGCGCCTCCGCCACGCGTACGCGTCGGCCATTCTGCGCCAAGAGGTCGGCTGGTTTGACGTCAACGAGCCCATGCAGCTCGCGACCCGCGTCGCCGACACGACGCTCATCATCCAAGAAGGCATGGGCCGCAAGGTCGGCGACGGTATCAACTTTACGACCATGGCGCTCTCGGGCTTCATCATCGCCTTCTGCTACGGCTGGGAGCTCGCGCTCGTCCTCTTTGCGTTCACGCCGCTCATCGCAGCGAGCGGCTACTTTATGATCAAGGCGATCTCGTCCGCGACCCAAGGCGGCATCGAGTCGTACGCCGAGGCCGGTGGCGTCGCTGAAGAGTCGCTGAGCAACATCCGCACCGTGCACATGTTCAACGCGATGAGCCGCATGGCCGACAAGTACACGGCCGCTTTGCGCAAGACGGAGATTGCCGGCGTCAAGAAGGGTCTCGCGGTCGGTCTCGGGACCGGTGGCATGTTCTTCACCGTCTTTTGCACGTACGCCGTCGGTATGTACTACGGCGCGGTCCGCGTCAGCACCGACCAGATCACCGACAAGTGCATCGGCAGCGCCTGCTACGACGGCGGCCGCGTCATCATCGTCTTCTTCTCCGTCGTCATGAGCTCCATGGCGCTCGGCCAGGCCGGTCCTGGTGCGCAAGCCATCTTTGCGGCCCGCGCGGCAGCATACAGCGTCTTTGAGCTCATTGAGCGCGAGTCCAAGATCGACGCGAGTGCGTCGACGGGCAAGACCTTACCGACCGTCCAAGGCGAGATCGTTCTCTCCAACATTGCGTTTGCGTACCCGTCGCGGCCCAACGTCCAAGTGTGCGCTGGCTATTCGTTGCACATTCCGGCGGGCCAAAAGATTGCGCTCGTCGGTGCCAGCGGCAGCGGCAAGAGCACGATCGTGTCGCTCCTCGAGCGCTTCTACGACCCGCTCTCGGGCACGGTGACGCTCGACGGCCACAACATCAAGGACCTCAACCTCAAGTGGCTTCGGTCGCAGATCGGTCTCGTGGGCCAGGAGCCGTGCCTCTTCCAAGACTCGATCGCCAACAACATTCGTCACGGCAAGCCGGGTGCGACGCTCGAAGAGGTGTTTGCGGCCGCCAAGCAAGCCAACGCGTACGACTTTATCATGGGGTTCCCGGACGGCTTTGACACTGAAGTCGGCGACCGCGGTGCGCAACTCTCGGGTGGTCAGGTATGTCGTCCTTTCCCACTTTGCACCTTCTATTATAGCTGACACCGTCGTCTTGTTTAGAAACAACGCATTGCGATTGCCCGCGCGATCATCAAGAACCCCAGCATTCTGATCCTGGACGAAGCGACGTCGGCGCTCGACACGGAGAGCGAGCACATCGTGCAGGCATCCCTCGATCACCTCGTCGCGTCCGGCAACCGGACAACGATCATCATTGCGCACCGCCTCTCGACGATCCGCAACGCCGACCGGATTGCCGTGCTCGAAGCTGGCAACGTTGTCGAAGAAGGCACGCACGATGCGCTTCTGCAGCTGCCGCACGGTCTCTACAAGACGCTTGTCGAGGCACAGACGAAGAAGGCGCCGACCGACGCAGATGCATCGTCGCCAGCGGTCGTCGGCCGCAACCGCCTGACCAATCAACAATCGTCCAAGGACGCTCATGCTGCCGACGCCATCTCGGTCGCCGCGTCGACAACGACCGACGCTGACGAGGCCACGCCCGTACCATTATCGCGCGTCTGGAGCCTCAGCAAGCCCGAGACGTGGAACCTTGTGTTGGGTGCTATCGGTGCGATCCTCAACGGCGGCGTCTTTCCCGTCTGGGGCGTGCTCTTGACCAAGTGCACGGTCCTCTTCTTTAAGCTCGACCTCGGCGTGGACGAGATGCGGCACCAGGCGTCGCTCTGGGCCGGTGGGTTTGTCGGTGTCGGCGTCGTCTTCTTCGTCTCGCTCGTGCTCCAAAACCACCAGTTTGCGATCGCTTGCGAGCGCCTTACGTCGCGCATCCGCGGCATGTGCTTTGAGGCGATGCTGCGCCAAGACATTGGCTGGTTTGACGACGAGAAGCACTCGTCAGGCTCGCTCACCACGCGCCTCGCAACCGACTCGGCCGCCATCCGCACCATGACGGCCGAGACGCTCAACGCGATGTTAGTCAACATCGCGTCGCTCTCGGTGGCGTTTGCGATCGCGTTCTCGCAGAGCTGGCAAATGACACTGGCGCTCCTCGGCATCTTTCCCGTGCTCGCGGCTGCCAACTATGTCCAGATGCAAACCATGACGGGCGACACCAACAAGAACGTCAACGACGGCGACATCCGTGCCGGCGCACTCCTCTCGGAAGCCATCAACTCGATCCGGACCATCGCGTCGTTCAACCTCGAAGACGAGACCAATGCCCACTACCACACGTACTTGCAGCAGTCGTCGACCACCGATCGCAAGGTGGGCCTCATCTCCGGCGTTGGCTTTGGCGTCTCGCAGGCAGCCATGTTCTTTGCGATGGCGTTCCTCTTTTGGTTTGGCGGCTGGCTCATCCTGCGTCGCGACTTGACGTTTGAAGAGATGTTTCTCGTGCTGAACCCGATCCTCGTGAGCTCCATGTCGGTGGGCATGGCGGCGCAAGCCATGGGCGATGTCGGCAAGGCCAAGAAGGCAGTCCGCAGCATCTTTGGCATCATCGACCGCGTCCCGTCCATCGACTGCTCGGCGTCCAACGGCCTTGTGCTCGACGACGTCAAGGGCGAGCTCGAATTGCGCCACGTCGCCTTTGCGTACCCGTCGCGGCCCGACTCGCAGATCTACAAGAACTACAGTCTGACGATCCACGCTGGCCAGACGCTCGCACTTGTCGGCGGCTCGGGCTCGGGCAAGAGTACGGCGATTGGTCTTCTCGAGCGCTTTTACGACCCGGCATCCGGCGCCGTCTTCCTCGATGGCCACGACCTCCGGTCGCTCAACGTGCAGTCGCTCCGCAGCCACATCTCGATCGTGTCGCAGGAGCCCGTGCTGTTTGCGGGCACGATCGCTGACAACATCGCGACGGGCAAGCCGAATGCGACCAAGGCCGAGATCGAAGACGCCGCCAAGAAGGCCAACGCGCACGACTTTATCATGCGCTTTCCCAACGGGTACGAGACCACGGTCGGAGACCGTGGCGTGCAAGTGTCGGGCGGCCAGAAGCAGCGCATTGCGATCGCGCGCGCCATCATCCGCGACCCGGCCGTGCTCTTGCTGGACGAAGCCACGTCGGCGCTCGACACGGAGAGCGAGCGCATCGTGCAAGAGTCGCTGGACCGTCTCCTCAAGCAGAAGCGGCGCACGACCGTGATCGTGGCTCACCGCTTGTCGACGATCCGCAACGCCGACATGATTGCAGTCGTCAACGACGGCAAGGTGTGCGAGCTCGGCACGCACGACGAGCTGGTGAACCTCCCGAACGGTCTCTACGCCAACTTGGTCGCGCGTCAGATGCAGCATTAAATGACTTTATTAATCTACATGGATATAAGAAACCTGGATGTGCATCGTTCATGCTTGCCGGAATTTGTCGAGGAAGCCATGGGCAAGAAGCAAGAAGGACTTCTGGAGGGACATCCACGTAGCGAGTGGTGATCACCGGCGTGTCGCAGAACCGATGGGCCTCACAGCAGCATCGTTGTAGCTTCAAGAATGCGTACCTGTAATCAATCAATCAAACATGTTCGCGTTGAAATCAAATTAGCACAAAACTAACTCAAAGACTTTGCATACGTAGTGCTACGCCTGAATGCGGGAGTTGGCACCAGCACTTGGTCGTTGGAAGTGAGCTGCGCACGGAGAGATCCATCCCGTGGTGGACCGGTAAATGCATGTATAATATCGTCTTGGCTGTCGTCGATGCGCTGTAGTAAGCACATCATTCCAGTGCGCGTGAGACACGACGATTCCTTCCTCGCGCCTCCTCTGTACCTCGTCGGCTCAAAAGAGATCCGAGGTGTGGAGCGACCTCCATCATTCCTCCCAATGCGCCAGTCTACTGCAGTGTAGTTCTAATAGCCGACTACACATCGTCTCGTTGTACTACGTAGTCGTTGTCGGTGCTAGACGCCGTTGCGAGCCCCGCGTTATCACTTGTGATTGGCAAGAGTGTCGGTCGTGTAACGCTCGGAATGTATGTTCCGGCATGATGAGCGTCGCGACCAGGGCCCTAATCCGAACATCTGGTGGTGATGAGGTCGCTCGCCAGCGCGCTCATCAATTGCATATTGGTGGCTCGGTCGTTGCCACTCACTTTCATATTCTCTCGCATCAGAGCAGATGAACAGCGAGACTCCACATATCGACAACTACGCACTCGTAACGACGCCCAAGAACGAAGCGCCACCGAGCGAGACGACGCCGGACGCCGTGGTACCAGTGACGCCCGCTCCCATGGTGTCGTTTGCCAAGCTCTTTTCGTTTGCCGACACGACCGACAAGGTGCTCTTGGCGATCGGGACGCTCGGCTCGATGGTCATGGGTGTCGCGCAGCCGCTGCAGATCGTCTTCTTCGGAAACGTCATCAACGCCTTCAACCCGACATCGGGCACAGGCGACGACGCGTTCCGCGATAGCATCAACCGCACGGTCATCCAGTTTGTCATTGTGGGTGCTATCGTGCTTGTCACAGGCGTGGCACAAACTGCGTGCTGGTCGATTGCAGCGTCGCGCCAGACCAAGCGGCTCCGCCACGCGTATGCATCGGCCATTCTGCGCCAGGAGGTCGGCTGGTTTGACGTCAACGAGCCCATGCAGCTCGCGACCCGCGTCGCCGACACGACGCTCATCATCCAAGAAGGCATGGGTCGCAAGGTCGCGGATGCGATCAACTTTACAACCATGGCGATCACAGGCATCGTCATCGGCTTTGTCTACGGCTGGGACCTCGCGCTTGTGCTCCTCGCGCTCTCGCCATTCGTGGCCGGCAGTGGCTACTACATGGTCAAGACGATTGCGGCCGCGACCCAAGGCGGTGTCGAGGCATACGCCGAGGCTGGCGGTGTCGCTGAAGAAGCGCTCAGCAACATCCGCACTGTCCATGCGTTCAACGCGATGCCGACGATCGCCAAGAACTACATGGCTGCTTTGCGCAAGACCGA